TAAACTGTCTTGGGGCTGAGTTTGTATTTTGGTCCACCATTGAACCCCAATGCTGAGCAAAGTGCTGTTATATGGTATTTGCTTAATCAGTCAGTAAATGTACTCTCTAGTGGGTGAGCAGATAAATAAACATACTATGACAATAAAATATGCAATTTCCTGTCAATACCAAAACAAAACCGTGGTCTATATATACAAATGAAATATTATTCAGCCATAAAAAGAAGGAAATTCTGCCATTTGCAATAATATGAATGGACCTGAGGGCATTATGCTAAGTGACATAAGTCAAAAAGAGAAACATAAATACCATTAGGCTTCACTTATATGTGGAATCTAAAGAAAACATCCCTCATAGATACAGAGAAAAGATTGGGGCGGGGGGTTGTGAAATGGGTGAAGTGGGTCAAAAGGTACAAACTTCCAGCATGGTACAAACTTGCATTTTTGAAAGTTGCTAAGAGACTAAACTTTAAAAGTTCACATCACAAGAAAAGAATCTGTAACTCTGTATGGTGATGGTTGTTAACTAAACTTACTGTGGTGATCATTTCGCAAAATATACACATATCAAATCATTATGCTCTACACTTGAAACTAATATGATGTTGTATGTCAATTATATCTCAGAAAAAATAATAAAATTTTATCTCCTCTGGAATTCTTATTCCCTATTCTCTTTTCGCATTGGCAACCATCTGACATACTATACATTTACTAGTTTATATGTTTATTATCTCTTTCCTTCTCAAGGGACCACAAGCCTTATTAGGGCGTAGCTTGCTTGTTTTGTTATCATAGTATCTCCAGCTCCTGTATATGTACATAACAATGCCAGGCATATGGTAAGCATTCAAGAAATATTTGCTGAATGAGTAAATAAATGAAAATAGAAAAGTATTGATTCTTCATGTATTATTTCAAAACTGGATGTCTTACTAAATTGTTTCATTGTTTCCTAACATATTTTTCAGCTGGCTTTTTTTGGATTCTTTCAGAACTGCTTTCTAATTTCTAATATTTATACCTTTTATTTTGCTACAATTTCTACTTGCTATATCTAGAATTTTCATAATATTAAATATTGGTGGTGATTTTTAGAATCGTTTTGTTCCTTACTTTCATAGTAATTCCTCTAATGTTGTACAATTAAAGTAGATTCTGGTTCAGGTGTGAAACACAACACAACACAGACACCCCCCCCCCCCACACACACACACATACTCACCACATGAATAATATATTTCCTCCAACTTACTAAGGATTTTATCAAAACTGTAGTAGGGTTTTACTAAATTATTTATTGGAATTTATTTATTTATATAAAAATACTTTTACTGATTTATAGAGAGAAACATTGATGTCAGAGCGAAACATCAATCAGCTGTATCCTGGGCATGTGCCCTGAACAGGAATTGAACAGGCAACTTTTTCATGTACGGGATGATGCCCAACCAACTGAGCCACATTGGCCAGGGCTGGAATTTATTAACATGAACATGTGTCTTATCATTTGACCTGTTAATATGATACATTGCAATAATAGACTTCTCAATAGTGAGCACTGTGCATTCAAGGAACTGGCTTTGCTTTGGTATAGTTTCCTTTTATTACTGATGGGTTACAGTGTTCTAACAGTGTAAGTTTCATTTTTCTATATATGTCAAATTGATCTCTTAATTTTCTGCAATTTTTGTCATGAAAATTATGCTGGCCTCATTAAAGAGTGAACTTTACTCTTTTTGCTCTGAAGTAGCTCAAAATTAAAGATTTCTTGACAATGTGAAATAATTTGTGAGACCATGAGGCGCAACATGCCTATTATTTGTTTATAATTATATGTGTATGTAATTTTCTTGGAGGAAAGGGAAGATTTTAAAACACTCACAATTTTCTAGGGTTAATGATCTATTCTGATTTCTTATTTCTTCCTGGAAAAAGTTTAGTTAGTTGTATCTTTTCAGTTGGCATTTTTTGGTATAAATTCCACAAAATAATTTAATAATTTTTTCAATCAGATTTTACATTTGCCTGCCTAATAAATCTATGCCTGTGATGATTTCTTCTTTCTCTTTTCTAATTCTTTGTATTTGTGCTTTTTTGATTGTGGTGCATTTCCTTTGTGCTTTGGTAGTCTGGGAAAATTGGCAGAGAACAGCACCTGTGGCATTGAGGCGGGAACTCAAACATGGGCCAGGAGCAGCTGGTGGTGAGGTGATCCTTCACCTCTGTGCAGCTGCTGGCAGTACCAGTGCCAGCTGACTGTTGAGAATGCTGGAGACATCTCAGACCAGCAAGCTAAGTGGTCCAGAAATCACTGTGAAATCCTGCTTTGTGGCTAAGGTCCGATTTCTGGTTCTCCAAGAAGGTACCAGCATTTGGCCAATGAAAAAGCTTAATTAGTTGACTGATGCAAGGCCCTAGGTAAATATTTAGGGGGGCGGGTATATTTGGGTGAAAAACAGTCTTTGGAACTAGGGTGGAGACTCAAAATTCATCGTAATTTTAGTATTAAAATTTTGTCTGAGGCTGATGAGGTCACAGAATTTGGGTAAAATAAGCCTCTTCTATTTTGTATCCATCCCCCCCCCCTTTTTTCATACCACTCACTTTCCCAGCATTCTGGGATATACAGCCAATTCTTCACTGGGCATGTTCTCCTGATATCACATAGGTACCTCAAATTCAACATGTGCTCAGTCGAGTTGATCACCCTCCACATGTATCCTCTATGCCTATGTTCCCTGTATTCATTTGCTGCTGCTATTCATTAAGATTCAAGCCAGAGCCTTAAAATCTACTTAAACTCTTTGGCTTTCTTCACCCTTCACATGAAATACCAATTACTGTTTGCATATTTTACTTTTTCCTCATTTTAAAAATTTCATCCCTCTCCACACTTACCTCAGATATTCTACCTAATTCAGGCTCTCATCTTCTTCTTGGATTTTGTTCACTGACATTTGATGCATTGAATATAAGGGAATCTGGGGTGCAATAAACCAGGAAAGCCTATTAGGTATAGCTAAGTATCTAAGGAATGCAGTCCTTTGTAATCTATCTCCAGATATGTAAGCCTGAACTGTATGTTTGTGGCTTGACAGTATTTTTATTGCTTACCCTTATTTCCTCATATTCTTGATCTTTGTTTCAGATCCTTCTTGGTACTCTGACCACGAATCTAATTGATAGGACCTCTTTGGAGGGTAATTTGGCAATGGCTATTAAATAAAAAATTGACCCAGCAAATCCATTTCTAGGAATTTATCTTACAGATATACTTACACATGTGCGCAAAGATGTATTCACCTAAGTAATCACTGAGGAATAGTTTATATTAACAAAATAATAACCAATATAAATGCTTATCAAGTGCGTAATGAATAAAGTATGTTTCAACAATACAGGGGACTACTATACAATTAATATGAATTAAGTAGATATGTATAAGAAACAATCTCTAAGATTTTGTGATAAAAAGGCACAGATATGTGCAGCATGTGCTATCATTTGTTTACCAATTGCACACACACAAATATCTAAATAGACAAACACACTAATGTACTGCTTGTAATGTATGGGCAGAAGATCAGAAATCCCAGGGTTTCAAACTTACTTTTCACTGTACAGCTTTTATAAAGTATGATTGTCTTGGTCATGTGCACGTATTACCTAATTTAAATTAAAATAGAAAAACAAAACAAAATAAAGAGCAAGTGGGAAGTTTTGATGGTTGTAGTTTAAAATATTTGAAATATCTGCATTAAAAGTGGTGTATATTTTTGCCTTTCCTCACATGGGAAGTCAGATATACAGTATATGTGAATAGGTAGTTATAAGGACAACATGCACATCTGTGTAAATAAAAATGTTTGGTAAATCATCTTAAAAACACAAATGACACTTAACTCTCCTAACTTATAGCAAGTACATTTAGATGTTATGTATTCAAGGTGTTAATCTTTTAACCCATGTTAATAGCATAAGTTTGCTTTTCAAAAACAAATGTACAAAGTAATGTATGCATAGCTGATGTTTCAGCTTCAGTTTCTCTCCTGGAAGATTTTGACTTTAATATATTCCTAGAAGGACAATTAAGATATAATAAAATGTATAATTAACCATTCAAAAACTTTAGTGAAGCACTTAATTGCTAAAATGATGAACGTTTATTTTTTCTGCAATACATCACAAATTCATTTGAGATAAAAGCATTATTCATGTATACAATAAAAAAAACTATCAGAAACAACTACATTGAGTACAACAGCTGGCCTTTCTCCATAAATGGCTGTCTGGATAATGTTACCTGAATTTTAAAGATATGTTAACCCCAAAAAGAACCTCTCTGATTGTCCTGCCACATATAGCTCAGTTTTGATTAGCTCTGAAAATCTGTAACATAAATGCTTCTCAAGAAATCAGGCCATAATATAGCAGCTTTAAACAAGAAGAATGAGAGCCTAGGGGTAGTGATGCTAAATTTACATTGAATAATCAAAACTGCAATTAATAGGATGAACACCATCGTAAGATTTCTTAACTAAGAGAACATATTTTTTAAAGTATTTTATGCACCAACAATATACAAAGAGCAAATACTGAGTTTCAAACATCTAAATGAAACACCCCCCAAATGGTGGCAATCTAGAACTTGAAAAGCATTTTCTAATTGGAGCAGGGCTATAAACCTGCCCTGTTATATTATGGGTTGTTTCTCAGACCAGCCCAAAAGACACTTTGTAGCACAGTTTCCTGAAATAACATACATCAGAAATGTGACCTGAACATACTATTGAAATACTGGTAAAAACTAAAGCACTGAATTGCAATAGGAACCAAGACTGTACAGCCCAGAGAAATAGCATATGTGAATCACTCAAAGAGAGAACACAATTAATGGCTAACTAAAATTCTTTGCAAAAAAGATGGTGGTGTGAAGAAAAATGAGAGGGGACTAGAGGGAAAATCTGGGCACTTGGAGAACACAGAGGCCACCCTTAGCTCCAGAGGCCTGCATAGTTCCCGTGGAGGCCTGAAGGGAGAGGCCCCCCAGCCACAAAGAGCTTCATCTCAGGCCAGTTGTAGCAGTGGGTGTAGAGAGCATTGGGGAACTCATTCATGCCACCGAAGTTCACCCACAAGTCATTGTGATTGAGCCAGCCTCTGCCACACGTGAGCCTCAGCTTCCTCCCTGTAGGCTCCCTGGTGGAGTCCAAGACGGCAGAGGCTTTCTCCTCCAGGAACTTCTGGGCACGGGTGTCATAGAAGAGCAGGGAGCCATGGCCTGTGCCCACGGTGACGATGTGCTGGTAGAAGCTCAGGGAGCGCACACCAGTGCCGCCCTCTCGGGAACACAGGGGCCTGATATTCTGCTGGCGCTGGCGCGGATCCACAAAGGAGACGTGGGACTGGGAGCCCACCGCATAGAGGGACAACTCATCACAGTAGGTCAGGCACACGTTCTCTCTGCAGTAGGGCAGCCTGATGGTCAGCATCCTGGACAGGGTGCTGCGGGCTTTCCACAGGTGGAAGTAGCCATCTAGGGACACTGCTCCCAGCTCCTGGTTCTTATGATTAAAGGCCAGGGCCCGCACCTTTCGGTTACTGGGGTTGGTGCTGGACCTGGGGATGGTCTCCATGTCCCTCGGACGGATGTGGGCGTACACGGGGAGCTGTTCGTCACTGTGCCAGGCTTTGCTGCCATTGATCCTGTAGGGATCCATTCTCCACAAAGCCACAGTGCCGTCGCGGGACCCGCTCACAGCCACAGTGTCGCTCATCCAGGCGATGGCGAAGATCCAGTCCCTGTGGCCATGGCGGTCGCCCAGGCACAAGGGGTCCAGGGTGGGCAGCTGGTAGACAGCCAGGCTGTTGGGGTTCTCGCCCCCGGTGGCCAGAAGCGTCTTGGAGGGATTCAGCTCGATGGCGTGGATGCCACAGCTTGGCTGGGCCCGAGGCGGCTCGGGTTTCCGATTCGCAAGAGCGGGATGCGCGTGATCTGGCCCGACTGCACATCCACCACGAAGAGCGTGTTGCACTTGGTGCCGCACACCACCTGCCTGGCGTTCAGCCACTGCGACGCGAACACCTTGTTGAGGGTGCCCAGGGCCAGCTCGCGCTCCCGCAGCAGCTCGGGCAGCTTGTGCACCGCGTAGCCGCGCAGTCTGCCCTCGAAGCCCCGGAACCCCGCGCGGCCCCGCGCGCCCACCTCGCGGCCCATCAGGTAGGGCACCAGCGAGCGCCGCGTGACCGGCCGCTTCTGCTTCTTGGGCAGCAACAGCGGGCCCTCTCCAGCCGCCGCCACCCAGCCCTGGGACGACGAGCTCGCAGCGGCCCCCTCGATGGCGGGCGCTTTCCGCTTCCTGCTACCTGTTTGCTCCGTGGCCATGGTGGGCGGCCGGCGAGTGGTGAAGGTGACAGAGGCGGCGGTGCGGCGGCTGTGGCGATAGCGGTGGCGGTGGCGGTGGCGGTGTGTGTCACCCGTGGTGGCCGTGGCGGCGGCGGGGACTGAAGCACCTCAGTCAGCCGGGTGCGCGGGCTCTCAGGAACCAGGAATCGTGGACGTCCTCGGGGCGCGGAGCCTACCGGGTCCGGGGCGCGGCGGCAGCGAAGTAGGAGAGGATGGCGGGGTCGGGGAGGAACAGGGCCGGGAGCTGATCTTGGGCAGATCAAGGCAGCGAGGGCGGCGGCGGGGTTCTAGGCGAGGGCGGGAAGTGTGGCTGGCGGCAAGGCTGGAGCCCAGTGGGTGTGAGATGAGGACTGTGCTGGAGTCTGTTAAAGAGGGGGCGGAGGCAGCGGGAGGAGCCGGCGGGGAGCGGGGGTGGGGTGCCTGGTAGCATACGCCTGGGTGGGAGGGGTCGGAGGGGGGCGGGAGCTGGGGGATGGAGCCTGATCAGGGAGACTCAACCCGGGCCAGCGCTCCAGGATTCCCAGATGGCTCAGAACACATCCACTTGATAGCCTACTGGGGGTTGGGGGCATGGGGGTTCACTACCCCTAAGACAACAACCAACTAGCCTTCTTAAAATCCCTACTTAAATATACTGCCAAAGCTAAAATGTGGTCAAGTATGAGGCTAGAAGGAACCAGGACAATTTCTGTGGAAGAAACAAATGTGCACTTGGTGCAATCCTGGGAGGCCCTTTGCTGCAATTAGATAGTGAACTTGATGGGCAATGAGGGTGTTTGGCAGAGGTACAGAGACCCTTCTCCTTAGGTCTGTCCTGCAGCCCCTCTGGTCTTGGGCATTGACCGACTGTTCATAGTAGTTAAATTGGACAGAATTGGGGGACGGGGGGAGGGGTTGATCATGGACTAATATGAGGCAGGCACATAAAGGAAGACATGAATGAGATTATGCCTACATTGTTTATTGATCGCCCAAGTACATATTTTATAGATTGGAGCAGATTTTCAGGTATAAAGGCATGTGTCTTCAGAAATGGGATTACAAAATCATTTCTGATATATTGTATTTAGATGTAAAACAAGGCTGTCCTTAAAAATATTTTGACACCTTGTCTACATTTGTGTGTATAGCCCTTGCATTATCTTTTTTCTATCCCAGGCTCTGTAACGTATTAATTGGATGTAGATAGCCAGTTATTATTTTCCCTAACTTAGATATTGACCTACAATTAGCTTCAACTACACCATATATGCTAATGCATCCTAGTTGTTTTTTTAAAAAACAAAACAAAACTCTATCCTAAACCAACATGTCCAACTTCCTACTTGTCATTTTGCATACCAAAACAGAACATTTATACCATGGAATACTATGCAGCAGTTTAAAAAAAGGATCTCTTATCCTTTGAGACAGCAAAGAGGCACCTGGAGATATTATGCTAAGCTAAATAAGCCAGTCAGAGAAAGACAAGTACGTGATCTCACTCATATGTGGAATCTTAAGAACAAAATAAACTGATGAACAAAATGGATCCAGAGACATAGAAACGTGGAGCAAACTGATGAATCTCAGAGGGAAGGACTGTGCTGGAGTCTGTTAAAGAGGGGGCGGAGGTGTGGGTGGATGGGAGGGAAGAGATTAACCAAAGAATTTGTATGCATATATGCATAATCCATGGACACAGATAAGAGTGTGGTGAAGGCCTGGGGTGGGAGGAGGGAGCGGGCAAGAAGGGGTCAATGGGCAAAAGGCGGGCACATCTGAAATACTTTCAACAATAAAGATAAATTTAAAAGAAAACCAGAACTTCAAATTCAGCATGTTTAAACTCAAGATTTTCATTTCAACTCCCAGGCACCTAACCATTTATTGTCTCCTTTCTTAATGAATAGCACCACTATCCATCCAGCTGTGTAAACCAGAGTCCTAAGAATAATCCCTGACACATCATAATGCTTCCTTATCTTCCGGTCCAATATCTATCTTCTAACTTTTTTTTCAAATCCATTTAATTCTCACCATCTCCACCGCTACCACTCTTGTATGCCACTGTTTTGTCTTGACAACTGTAGTAGCCTCCTAATTTTCCTACAACCATTCTTGCCCTCCTCACTTCACCACACTGCAACCATAGTGATGTTTTCAAAATGCAAATATGGCCATCTCACTGCACTGATTTAAATTAAGCAATGTTTTCCTATTGTCTTAGGATAAAGACCAAAATACTTAACACAGTGGACAAGGCCCTACGTGTTATGACCAATGTCCCCCAGCCACATGCTTACCTTCTCCTTATTACTTGCTTTGCTCCATACACACTGATCCTTTTTAATTTCCTCAATAATATTACATGTTTTCATGCCTCACATCCTCTTTTGCATGCTGTTCTCTCTGCCTGGGATGCTTTGTACCTATGGTCTTACCACCTTTAACCCCCTACAGATTCTTTACCTTGTTAACTCCCTATTGTTCAGGTTTTAGGTAATGTGTCACTTTCTTAGGGAAACCATCCTTGGGCCCCCAGAATAGGTCATATCTATTTTATATGGATATCCTCTTAATTGTACTTCATGGCATTTGCCACAGATGAAATTGCATGGTTATTTCTGTGACTGCTTCATGTCTGACTCTATCTACTGAAGGATTGAACAAAAACTCCATGAAGGCAGAGGCAATATCCACTGCGCTCTCTGCTATATATTCAGTGTTTAGCACGTCATAGAAATTATCAATAGTTGTTGAATAATGTCAACTGAAATTTAAGAGACCTTGGTGGATCTCTGTTTAACTGGTACATCAGAACCCAATCCTTCACACTACAGTATTCGATAAGCCACCTCTAATTTAATATAATTTGGAGGAAAAACCCTTCACTACCTGACATTTTAGAGTCTTTAAAATTATTTACTCTTCAGCTGTTTTAGTTTTGATTTTCTCTGGATCTATTCAAAGTGTAATCCACTCAATTTTTCCAAAAAGTTAATCCTCTATTCTTACAAAACTCTGGATCAATTGATGTGGTAGGCAGCCCTAGAAAACAGTGAACAGTTAGATTAGAAGTAGAATACTTTGCTGTCAAAGATTACTGTGTTGGAGGGGATGAGAGCATGAGTGGGGGTCAGGGGCAATGAGGGGATAAGGACACATATGTAATACCTTAATCAATAAAGAAAACAGGAGGAAAAATAAAGATTACTGTGTTCTCTTTCAGCTGTGGAGAAAACTGCCAGAGATGACGTGATACTGTTTCCAGGTATGGTTGATCACCTTAACTCCAAGGATCAGCCTTGATGGGATGAAAGAAGTTTCAAGCAGAACCTCAGCATTTAATACTTACCTTAAATGGGCATTTTAATATCATGAAATGATCAGAGGAGATTGCCATAGTCCTTTGAAAGATCATTATTTCAAGTGATATCAAAGAGTGCCATATGTTAGCTACCATTGTGTTTAACACACAAGTTAATGGTTTAATGTCATTTGTAGATAGATCAAATCTCCTGGTGCAGATGCTGTGTACAAAAAAGTTTAGTGTCTATGTATATATTGATGACGTGGTTTTACTGTCAAGAACTAGAGTAGTCTTATTAACAAATTACTACTAAGAATGTCTCAATATTTAGGTAGAATCCTAAACCATTCTTTTGGCACTTATCTTTCAAAACTCAGCTATTCGGTACAAAATTGCTTATAGCGGCATAGAACTTATTTTTGTACTTTCATATTCAGGTTGGGAAACAGTTTGCAACTAATGTATAATAGTAAAGCAGTGGGAAACTTGTTCTGTATCAATTGCCACATTTTCTTCCTTCATGAAAAGTACCTATTGACTATTGTTTTCATCATTTTTCTAAGTCAATTCCATTGATGCCATGCTTTGTTAGAACTTAGATATCTGAGAGAAGCACATGTCCAGGTACACTAGAATTGATCTGAATGTAAGCTCCATACAAAGTCTGGTTTTACCTGACGATATCCCCACCTATTACCTCTGTGAGAAAGTAGGATGCCCTGTCATCTGGATGAGAATTTTGGTAAAGCTTCTCAACCTTCATAAGATGACAACCTTATCACATACTGTATATTAAATTAGCACAGTAGTTGGTAACATGGCCTCTTTTAAAGAACTATATGGCTCAGGCAACTTACTTGACCTCTCATGGCCTCACTTTACCCACTGAAAACTTTACTTTTTAATCTTTCGAATTGTGTAGAAACAAATGTTTAGTAAATATTAGCAATTATTAGTGTCTGGATTTTCCACCCTTATGACCCTGCCTATGATGAGCAATACATACTACTGCCCTTTCAGACATTATCAGAGAATATAACCTCAGTGCGTCTTATCTCTTCAAATTGCCCAACCATTCCCTTGTCTGCCTGGGAAAGTCGTATTCATCCCTGAAGTCTCATCTCAAATTTTACCTCCACTTTGATAACCTCTTTGACTCTGCCAGATAGGTTTAAGGGCATCTTCTTTTGTACAATATGAACATACTTTATTATAATTAACTTACTTCACTCTCTTCATTGGCTTGTCTAATTCTAAAATAACTTCAAGCCCCTTTGAGGTAGAAATATTTTTTAAAAAACTATATATTTGGATGCCCAGAATCTACATTATAACAAATGAATTAGTTATAAACACTAAAGTTATAAACACAGTGCCTGGCATATGGATGGCTCATGCACATTTGCCTAAGGAATGAACAAATGAATTCAGCTTCTATCCAAACTTGCTAATAAAATGTAATAGTTAGCCTTCTGACGGCTGGTTCACATACTTCAGTTTTATTCTTGAGTCACCTTACACCACCAGAAGACTGTATCATAGGATCAAATTAGCTTAGTATTTGCTGAATCAGTTTCACTCACTTGCACTGTAATATTATGCTTTAGGCACTTATCAAAGGTCATTAAAAATAGCCAAACAGCTATATGGATATCCCTTCACATTTATTGTATATCTGTTATGAAGG